TACGTAAAATTGAAACCTCTTTGTAAACGTACATATATTGACTAAATATTTGCAAGACAAGCACACAAGGAAAATTTAATATTTATTGTTCGTTTTTGTTTTACGAGGAGGGTCCTATCTCTTAAAAGGCAAAGCGCGGTGCGGCTTGAGGGGGACAAATGACATCCTCAACCCCTGGAGCGATGCGCAATAAAATTACTGGCAATTAACATTTTTTTTGTTAAAAAATGACTTTATTAACTGTTTAAATGATTATTTTTACGTTTATACAAAAACTAGCTGTCGCCTGAGATTTAAAAAAAAAACTTAATTAATAGCCTATATGTGTTCTTCCAGACGATGTTCTATACCTGTGCCAAATTTCAGAGAGATCCATGCAGCCGTTCTGAAGATACCTTCAAACAAACATCCATCCATCTAAACATTCGCATTTATAATATTAGTAAGATATCTTTTGTTATCGAGATTAAAAACAATTAAACCTGATATAATTATCACATTAGAGTGGATATCAATAGCATGAAAAAGATTTAAAATAGAATATTTAAACGCAATATATTTAATTATTTAAATACGTTGCAATTATATCAACCATTGTCTTATTTATTATGTTGCTGTATACATAAATTGCCTATTTAATTTGATATTATATATTACACATATAAGCATAATGTTTTAAGAGAGCCTTAAATAGTATATACACTGCCTGCAAATAATACAACTTTTCTAATTCATTATATCGTATATTTATCTCATTGTATCACATTAAGAATTTCTCTACATCGATCTTATTTTTCGCACATCATAATTCACAGCGTATATTATCTGACACAGGCGCGTGACATTGACAAACGTTTGTAAAAATATATTTCTATTTGACTTACATATTCCGAATGAAAGCAAATACATAAGTATATTTTTGTTAATCAAATTAATACAATTCTTTTATATTTCGATTAGATTCAAGTTTACATGTTTTGGAGTCGGTACGACCTTTTAAGCCTTAATAGATTTTTTCTGCAGCATTGCGAGTGAAAAATGCGATTTAATTATTGTTTAAGTAAGGAACACTTCTTAGCTGAAAAAGGAAGTCCCTAGGTAATATGAATGTCTATTAACTTACTTTGTAAGTACACTTTGAAAGCCATGATTTTCACAAATTTATCTGCAATAGAAATTGTATTTTTATTAAAATTTATATTGACATGGATTTTATTTTCATCGTCTAAAATCAACAAAAAAAATAAAGAAAAAAGTCTCATTCCCTTCGTTTCGTCAGTGTACGCCAAAAAACCCTAAAATATAAAAAGTAATACCGGGGGTTAAGTTACTTGGTTTAAGAGTTAAAACCTTTGCTTAGTTATTATAACATAATAGTAATTCTAATCTTACTTTAAGCTCCGACTTTCTCACTTCAAATTAATACAATATAATTTATGGTTTAGCTTTCCTAATTATTTATTTTTTGACGTTATTCGATTCTTAATTTAAAAATAATAAGATGTAACTCATAAGGTTTCTTAACCTATTTAATTATATTGTAGACTAAGGGGCTCTTTTAGTGATCAATTAAGGAATCTAGGTGCGACATCTAAAAACGTCGATGATAATTGATCGTTAAAATTTCAATCGTAAGCAATTTGTGTGTCTTTTTTGGTAAAGTTCCTGCATTTTTTGAGACTTTTTCCCTCGTTGAATGAATTTCGCGTACAATTTACGAGATGAGCTTATATTAAAGCGCAGAGGCGTCCCTTTCCTTGAGAACATAAAGAATTCCGAATAGAGTGTTATTACCTATTCAACTGAGATCGCCTTTGTTATCCGCCACTGGTATTAAACTTGATATTAACATTGGAATGAAAATGCACCTAAAGTATTTTTTATCACGTTTGATTAATTTTTGATTATTATTTTTATTTAACTTTGTTAGAGTTTATTTGTTTAATAGTTGACATCGCCCATGGATATTTCCATTACCAGTGGAACAGCAGATGCGTTGTCGGAACTAAGAAGATGATACACTTACTTCTTGAAGGAGCAGAAGTAGGAGTTTGGAAAAACCGCCGAAGACATACCACAACGCGGCAGTGCGAGGTAAAGAGTTTCGCGAAAACCTCACGGTTGTGGATTGCTAGCCATCGAATTGGTTTGTATGGGACCTGGCTATCCAAAGTTTCTTATTCGTATCGAATTTGACTATACTGTTATTGCAAATTTAGTACAGCTATAATCTTTTATATTTCGATGGCAAAACAATTATTTATAGTAACTTTTACATAATTGCAAAAGTTTAAAACGCAACATATTAACAAATATTAAGATATAACAGTAATTAATACTTAAATTGCACAAGCAAGCAGAGAACCAAATCGTTCTACTTTAGCAATTCGAAGGAAAACGTTTGCACAACAAACGACTTCAGGATGAAATACAGTTCCCCTAAAACTAGTTTTATCTTGGGATATAGAATATTTACAACCATAAAACCGGCCAGAGACAACGTAAAATATACCAGTTTCAAAACTTCAAAATACATTGCGTTTTATTTACCAATAGGAGTGACAATATCAAGTTTTAACGAGGCAATGTATATCTATACTTTCTATTGAGCAGTTGTTTAGATAGTTATGCAACGGTCGCGTGGTGAGTCACGGAAGACGGCTGGAGTCGGCCAATGGAGCATTGAATACTTCGCAACATAGGCACGTCCGTTGGCAATCCCACTGATGGTGGAACTCTATAAAAAATTTCTAATGATAACACTCCACGGAGCCTAGGAAAGTTGCAGCTAAGGTCATTTTTTAGTTTTTTATAAGGTAGCATTACCTGTAGGCACCCTATTTTAGATGCGTTGCTTACCTTTAATCGGCAACGGAGAGAACGCACAGAAAGAGGATATTTTGTTCTTCCACGCGTCTCCGTCCTGCGCCATATCCACTTTTCCTTTCCTTATCAACCTCATGAAGGAACAGGGCTCTTCAAAAACAGTGTCGTTAATGAGACGGTGTACGACTTGATGTCATTTAAATACTTGACGTCAAGAAAATCTTGACTCTCACCGTTCATAATTAAAGCTATTTAGTGTTAAACTTTGCAAATCTTACTAATATTATATAATAAATGTGAACGTTTGGACGGATGGATGGATGTTTGTTTGAAGGTATCTCAGGAACGACTGAACGGATCTCGACGAAATTAGACATGCATGTAGAACATAGTCTCGAAGAACACATAGGCTAATTAAATCCTTTTTTAATTCGACGGAGTCGCGTGCGACATCTAGTATGAAAATAGTTTTGTTTCTACGAGTCTTTACGTAGTGACATTTCCCTCATCTCGTAACAATGTCGACCTACATTTGCATACTTCACCTTGATATCTACAATTGCTTGTTAACCTAGACTATAAATCTTCTAACTTCGTATCGTACATTCTCAGTTTACTTACGCCAGGGATAAGATGGCATTGGTACCAATTTTTTATGATGCAAGTACATACTTACGTAAGTTTATTTGGAAAGTATTTTTCTCAATCGGGTTAATTTTATTTGTCAAGGTTCATTTTCCACAGATCTGTTGAAATGTTTATAAATGAGTGAATCTCAGAATATTGACGCCATATAGTAAATGTGCGACGTTGCATAGTTTCCTTTTTACCTAAAGGTCCATATACTCACGTTGTTTCTGCTTCACCTCCATCAGGACTAGTCATCGTCCTTTGCAAGCATTATTAGTTATTTCTAATTTTAATGGTCACATATTCCTGATAATTAATTCTAAAAAGGTAAGGTTGGTAAAAAAGGGCCTTTCCTGTAGGACCAATAGACCCAATGGAATCTTATTCTATTGGTCCGATTAATTGTATGCTTTCAATCGGCCCAATGAGATTTTTGCCTAATTTAGTCTTCTTTCCCTTCCCACCCTTTTTCTTATAAGGAAAGGATGGGAAGTGGAAATGGACTTTCCGGATGAGAGGATGCATGGGAAGGAAATATATTTTCTTTTTGTGCATCCTCTCCTCCGTCGATTAAAGGTAGGCAACGCATATGCAATAGCATATGTCTATGGGCAACGGTCACTTCGTTATTTTATTATAGCTATTTCAGGCGGCCGCTCGCTCGTTTGCCACCTTATGATATAAAAAAAAATCCCCTTAGACCGATGATCGGTAGGCCCATAGTCCCAACGGCAAACGCCCATGAAAGTCAAGGTTGGAAAACGTTAGGTAGGTGGGGTACAACTAACTAGTGGCTAGGATCAGGTTAAATTAAACACATTGATAATATTCTCAATTTTAGTTTTATTTTTATAGAAAAATCATATACACTCATCCATTCATCGCACATTATATATAAATACATTCTGTTTTGCATACAGAGATATTCAGAAAATAGCAATTAGCTAATCACGACATTTAGCTAGCAATTACAACTCAACATCCGCGTAACTCAAGCTTTATAATACATCGCCTCATCGCATTATGTATTCCAAAAACCTTTATCGAATACATTATTTACTTCATTATAATATTTATATAATAAAGTTTACATATATTACATTTTATTATCTATTTTTGCTATAATTTCGAATACTTATCGGCGGATAAAGCAATAGATATATCACCTATCATAAGTACGAAAATTCTCTTAACAAAAACTGCTGGCACAATGAAGTTCTAGCGTTACATATATTTTTTATAATTAAAAGTTACAAACTAACATCTAATCCGACAACCTTACATGAAAATATGTAAGCAATTTACTGATAATATACACAATAAATAAGACAATGGAATGTTATTAAAATTACGTTTGTCATGAGCGCGGTACTATATCCAATAGGGAAAAGCATTCCATCATTGTACTCTATCCCAAATAACCGCGAACACGACTTTACATGAAATAATAAAAAAAAATAAAGATAAAAAAATAAATCTAACTCTCATATTAAGACAAATTATAGCAAAAATACTTGTAAATGATTAGGCCACAGGCGCAGTGTTCAATGTGCCCGAGCGTGCACCGCCGGTACGGCAACGTGGACCATGTATAGCTGGATCTGAACACCACAAAATTACATCAACGATGCGCCTCCCTACATATATGTGTATATTATCGATGTCTTCGACGTAAACAAATGTAACTCACAACTTTGGAATTTTGAACAAGGTTTAATTTTTAACATTAGCTTAAAATAATAAGGATTTCAATCAAATTGATTTGCACACGTCAATATTTTTATTATTACAAGGTGCCAGCATTCGCCGAAACAGCGAAACGAGAGTTCCTCTTAGATATCTGCAGTTGCAGAGACATATCCTGAATCAACCGAGGTGGAGACACACAGAAAGAGGAAAGAGGTCTACCCCTCATATGCGTTCCCTCCTTTATCAAGTACACTTCCCCTTCTTATTATTTCTTATAATAAAAGGGTGGGAAGGGAACGTGGACTAAAATTAGGCTTCTGGCACGCACACTCATCATAAGATACGCGGGATTATCTTTTACCATACTAATAGTTAAGTTTTGTAGTGTAAAATTTGTAAATACAATTATTTATGCAGGAGACATCGTTATATTGCATATGCACGGGTTGCATATGCGCATATGCATACCGTGTGGTTGTGTCGGCGGGGCGGGGG